CAAGTGTCTCTGACCGCCGTGAAGCAGCGGTTTGAGGACAAGCGCTACGAAGAGATCAGCCAGGAAGAGGTGCCCGTGCCCCCGCCGCCCCCCCCCGCCGCCGGCCCCTCCCGGCCCCGTCCCTCCCCCTGACCAGGTCTCCTCTCAGGTACTGAGCTACGGCCAGTTGTGCGCAGCTCTGGGAGTGAAGCAGAACAGCCCGGAGCCCACGTCATTCCTCAGCACAGGGGACATCCACGCCTTCCTCACCTCTCCTTCAGGAAGGCGGACCAAGCGGTGAGTGAGCCCCATGTCTGAAACCGTGCGTGCTGGGCCTGGTTCGCTGGGGACCCCCACGGCTGTCTGAAGGGCTCTGTTACCCCCTTTTACACAGAGGGCTTCTAAGACGTAGCAGGGAGAAGCAGCAGGTCCCACGAAAACTGAAGCTGGGGTTGGATCTAGGCCTTGGTTCCTGGGCCCAATCTCCACTGTCGGCCACCCTGTTCTCTGTCTCCAGTGCAGCTGTCTCTCTTGCTTTAACCTGGCCCCTTGGGGCAAAGGTGGTCTCAAGCACAGGCTGAGCCCAGCACAAGCACTTGCGGGCCACCCTGTTCCACTGTGTTGCTGTCACTCCCGCCCCTGTCCCTCTGCACTTCCCGGGCTGTCCCGTCTCCCCCTCGTCTCCCGAGTCTATCCCACGCATGTCCCCCGTCTCAGTGTCCTGGCTCGACCACCTGGAATAACTTGCCCTTCCCACCTTACCCACCCGCCAAGTCCAGATGCGCAGCCCCTCACTGTGCCACCGGCCCTGCCTCTAGGAGCTTTGCTGCGAGCTTCCTGAGGGCAGGCAGCTGGGTAGCTGTGTCGTCCCCGCACCCAGCACAGCAGGCCAGGGCGGGCAAGTGCAGAGGGGACCAGGCTGGGTAGGAGGACCAGCCACGACCGGGCTCCTGGCCCTCCCACCCTGCAGGAAGCGGGAGAACAGCCTCCAGGAGGACAGGGGCAGCTTCGTCACCACGCCCACCGCGGAGCTGTCCAGCCAGGAGGAGATGCTGCTGGGCAGCTTTCTGGACTGGAGCCTGGACTACTGCTCTGGCTACGAGGGTGACCAGGAAAGCGAGGGTGAGAAGGACGGTGACGGTGAGTGCCACGGCCCAAAGGCCACCCAGATGCCCCCTCGGGGGCGGGGAGGGGCGTCCACACCCAGGCAAGCGTGAGACAGCAGAGCCCCTAGAACACCAGAGTGGGGTCGGGAGCCAGGGTGGGCATTCTCCCAGCCCCTGGCAGGGAGAAAAGACCTGTGTCCGGCCCCAGCCAGGACTGTGGGAGGGCTTCACCGGGGCAGGGAAGCAGAAGAGACCTTGTCTGCAATTCACAAGGAGTTCTTTCTCGAACATTGTGTGAGATGTGCCACCCACTGCCCTTTTGGGCTCTGTTCCTTGTGCACCCCTCCAGAGCTGCCTGTCGGAGGCTCTGCCCCTGTGTTCTCGAGCAGCTAAACACAAAGGAAGCCCAGTTGAAGCAGTTTCTGTCAACTTTCCAATTGCTTGCTTTGTGTCCACTTGGGGATTAAGTGAATTATTGGTAACTAGTTTGTAGTCGCTCCCCCAAATCACACTGAGTGCCACCCTCAATTTCTTACCCAAAGGAGAGCAGTACAGGGGACAGTCCAGTGAGAGCCACGCCTGTCCTGGCGAAGAGCTGGACCCTGGGCCACTGGGGGTCCTGACTGGGCAGCGGGGCACCCTGTTGCTCGGGCAGTGGCCGCATCTCTCTCCTCATGTCTTCCCACAGTGACGGCCCCCAGCGGCATCCTTGATGTCACCGTGGTCTATCTGAGCCCCGAACAGCACTGCTGCCAGGAATCGAGTGATGAGGAGGCCTGCCCGGAGGACAGGGGACGCCAGGACCCGCGCACCTGGGTACCAGGCCCCCAGACGCCTCCAACGCCAGGGCCTGAGCCTCGGCTCTGCAGCACAAGGGAGCCAGGCAGGGACAGTGTGACCTCAGGGTACTCCTCCATCAGCAGCACAAGTCCCACAAACTCAGTGGACGGCATCTCAGGGGGCCCTCCCCAATCTACCTCAGTGCTGTCCCCAGGCAGCGACTCAAACACACAGCCTTGCCACCACCATGCCAAGAAGTCGTGTTTACAGTGTCGCTCTCCAAGCCCTCCGGAGAGCAGCGTGCCCCAGGTGAAGAGGAAAAACCTATCGACCCACAGCAAGGAGGAAGGGGAGGAGGAGGAGAGGGACCTGAGCCAGGCTTGCTGAGGCTGCGAGTGTGCCCGTGCTTGCCGCAGGGAACATTGGCTAAGGGAGGGCTGCCGCTGCACTAGGGAGCCGTGGGGGCACTGGAGATGGACGCCATGTGGACCCCAGTGGCTCTCTCACAGGGAACGGAGAGAACACGGGACGCTAAGTTTCTTTCTCCAGGGTAGTCCCATGCGAGCCGTCAGAATGTCTGAATCAGAACAAAAACTCAGATTCTTCCCTTTGGGAAGCTTAGCCTCAAAGCAGTTATGCCACACCCTGTGAAGCCCGTTTCTCTGTCCCCTCTTGTGTCTGTCCTGCTCTCTCTGGGGAGCTTGAGCCCACGTCCTGATCTCCCCAGCCCCACTGAGCCCCATCCCAGGAGCCGACAGCTTTCACAGTTGAGAACGCGTGTGGCCGGGTGGCCTGGCCCAGCTCCCCTCCCAGCATCTCTCTGGTTTTGGGTTCCTGGGGGAGCTGACAGCTCTGAGCGCCCCACCGTCCTCATATCTCCGCACCTGCACCTGCCCCAGGCCCCCGCCGCTCCCGTCCTCACTGGGTGGCAGGTCCCCTGCTGAGGGAGCCATGCCCCTGCACACTGCTGTGGACTGCATGGGACCGCCAGGTGGGGGGCCCTAATTGCTTTCTTGGCCCTCAGCTCCCTGCCCACCACACTCTCCGCTCCCTCAGAAATCTGTCCCTTCCTCCAGAGTGATTGGTCTTTGTCCCCAGCAGGTGGTGTCCACATGAACACCTCTCTTTGCACTGAATTTCTGGGCCATTTCTTTTCCTATTTCCATCCTTTGTTCTTCTAAGATGGAAATAAAAAAAAATTAAAGATAGAAGGCATTAAATTTAAAAGAGAGAGATTCTTAATTTTATTTAGGCTCAACTAAAGGAAAAAGGAACATCTGATTCAGATCCCTCAATGCTATCCTGACACTCTTCCCAGAGAGTTTAGATGGAAAAAAATTGTCATTTGTAACATCTGAGGTGACCACAGTGCAGAAGAGTGAGACTCAGAGGACCTGTCCCCACCTGTTGGGTGAGGGTGGGTCTGCTGTGGGTTCCAGAGGCTTCCCCACACCTGCCACCTCCTGGGTACAGCAGCCAAAACACCGGCGGGATCTGCTCTAGACTGACCCCAACCACCCCCCGGTTGGGTGGACCACTGAGACACATGCCCTGAACAGATAGCTTCTGCTGCTTCTCGGAACGTCAGAAAGAACCACTGGGCCAGGAGCCATCCCCCAAATGCTCTTGAACCCGAGCTCTGTGGAAGGAAGAGATACTCCGCGGTAGCTCTTCTGGGTGCTTGTGTGTGTGCGAGCGTGGGTATGGGTGTGTGTGGGTGTTGCTGTGGGAGCTGTGTTCCTGCTACTCTAAGAGAATTCTGACCACCCCAGTGGGGCACGGTTGAGATTGCAGATGTTTCCTGTCAACTGTGCCCCTGGGCATGTGTGAGCCTCAGTATCCTCATCTGTAAGATGGGGCCATAGTACCTACCTCATAGGGGTATTGTGGGGATTAAATGTGATGAGGGTAGTGGCAGCTGAGTGATGTGCATATCTGAACTGCCCACCTCCTTGTCTGTGGCCCATTGTCAAAAGCTCAACTCTGGATGGACCCAGCTCTCTGCCTTCTCCCCGCCTGCACCTGTAGGAGACCACTCCAGTGGGGACCTAATGCCACCTGCCTGCGCTGATCGGAGCCTCTCCCTCCCTTCCTCTCTCCAGATGAGAACGGGCCACTGCCCGTGGACGGGCCCACCCTAAGCTCCCACCCTGGAACAGCCCCAAGCAGCATGGGGCCCCCAGCTCCCCCCCCCAGCAGCTATGAAATGGACACCTCTCCATCTTGAAGTAACCTCCCCCACCCCCAGCATGTCATCCGTGCAGCTCCTGCTGAGATTTCTCAGCTCCTGCAGGTTCACAGTCCTACTTATTAACTCCAATTACATGGGGCCCTCCTGCCTTCATCACTCCTCCCAGCTAGCACCTGTCCCCCAGCTGTCTGAGTCACTGAAGGCCCCATCCTCCAATCTGTGGAGACCCTCCTGGAACAGCCTCAGGTTGCTTCTGTGACACCTGGCTCTACTGTCCCTCCACCTCTCTGGGCTCCAGCTCCCCTTCCATCACCCATCCTTCACCAGTCCCCGTCTATACTCCTGCCCCACCTTGGACCATCTGGCCCCAGCCCATTGTTCTCAGGCCACCATCCCAGGTTTTCTGGACTTTGATGTGCCTCTGCTCAGGTGCCTACCTGATGCCACCCCCGAATGTTGTCACCTCACCAGGATGTCCACAAGCGAACGCTCCCTCCTCCCTAGCTGTGCCCCCAACACACGTGTCCTCCTCACCTCTATATTGAAATACGTACTGGGCCCCGTCAAGTACCTTGCCCCGCGCTAGGTGGCCTGGGATCCGCAGAGCACCTCGACCCTGCTTTAGGGCGCCTTCAATAGGACAAAGACAAACTCAACCGTAAGCAATCACAGGTGCCTCCATCTACCCAGTCGTCCAAACCAGATGTCCGTGCACCACCAGAGGACCCTCTGAGACCCCGGGGCCCAGCTCCGAGCGGGAGTCGCGGCGGGCGCCGCAGGGGCGGAGACGTGGCAGCCCGAGCGCCGAGGCGGGGCCCGGGCGCTGAGGGCGGGGACGCGGGAGCCGGCGCGCCGGGGGCGGTGCCGGGGGCGGTGCCGGGGGCGGGCCCTGAGCCCTGGGCTCGGGATTGGGTAGCCCGGCCGGAAGGGGGCGGTCTCCTAGCCCGGAAAGGACCCGACTTCCCGGAGGCGGCAAATCCGGAGGGTCCGCGGCTGCCTTCATGCTGCCCGCGGACTGCTCGCGCCGGTGAGACCCGCGCGCTGGGAGGGAGCGGGGCGGGAGGGGGCGCGGCGCTCAGCAGGCCGGGGTGCTGAGCCGCCGGTGCGCCCCCCCAGGCTGGTGGCTGAGCTGCGGGATGCCCTGGACGCCTGCGCCGAGCGACAGCGGCAGCTGGAGCGGAGCCTGCGTGTCTCCCGCCGGCTGCTGCGGACCTGGTACGCGGACCCCGAGGCCGCCCTCGGAACCCCGCTCAGAGCTCTTCGGCTGCTAGGCCGGGCTCAGCGCCCACTTGCTTGTTGCCAGCTGTGCTCCCCTTTGTCTGCAGGCTCTGAGGGTGGGGAGCTGCCGCGAGGCCAGGCGGCTCCTTGCGGTCGGTAGGTTCTGGGCCCTGCCTCTTGGCCGTGCCACGCCTGTACTGTGTCTTGGCAGGGAACCCGAGACGCCGGCTGCGGAGCCAGCCCCAGGGCCAGAAACTAATGAAGAGGTCCCGCCTCCCGGTAAACCTCCACCACCCACTTTCTCTTGGCTCTGCCCCTGCTCTGTTTTCTGACAAGCAGTGGTGAGTGACCACTGCAAGAGTTTTTGGGTTTTGCAGCATGCACACCCAGCCGTCAAGAACTCAAGGAGCTGGAGCTTCTGACCCAGGCACTGGAGAAGGCTGTACGGGTGAGAAAAAGCATGTCTAAGGCTGGAGAAAGACACGAGGCCCTCAGCCTCAAGTCTCGGGATGCTGCCACTTGTGCCAGCACAGCCTCTGCCCCGTCCCGGGCCTCAAGCCAGGCTGGCAGTCAAGCCTCAGAGACAAAACCACCCAGGGGCGCCCACCAAACCACGGTGCCTGCCAGAGGCCTCCCTGAGGGCAGGCTTCCATCAGTGGGGGATCGCACCCGTATGGCGAGAGGAGCCCGAGCCACCAAGCCTGGACCAGGCCTGAGGGACCAACAGATAACTGCATCGGCTGCTCCTCAGGCCCCAGAAGCTTTCACACTGAAGGAGAAGGGGTAGGTTTCCCAGACCCTTCCTGGAGGAACTGTTGTGTCTGCCTGATCAGATCCTGGCCAGCAGCAGGAAGCTGGGATGACAGGGAGGGCAGGGCGTTGAGCTGGATGTGGGTCAGGGAAGCCCCCAGGGTGCCATCCCATGAGATCCATGCCCCAAAGCTGGCAGAATGGACCATTGCTAGGGTCTGTCCCCTTCTCCCTGGCTGTCCAGTGCCCCATCCTCTTATCCACTCAGCCCAGGGGCTCCAGATGGGCTGTGGAGGGCCTGGGCTCTGCTCCTGGTGTCCTCTCTTCTCTCAGTCAGGGCAGACCTGGACTGTGCTGGCTCCCACAAACAAGCTGGAAGCCCTATTGCTTGTTTGCGGCGGGGAGCCCCCAGAGTGAGGCTACTCTGAGCACTGGCTTCCCTGACAGCATCCTGCTGAAGCTACCTATGGCCTACAGGAAAGCGGCTTCCCAGAACTCCCGGTAACGCTGGATCTCAGCTGGGTGGGGGTGGAGGGGAGAGCAGGGAGGCCTAGGCTTGCCACCAGCACAGGGCCGCATTGGTAAGACTCTTCTAGCAGGCCCCTCTGCTTTGTTGGCTGGGTGGGGAGACTTTCCACGTTAAGAGAGTCTGCCTAGCTAGGACTTAGACTCAGCGGGCTTCGAGGTTGGGAGACTTTGCGTCCCCATCTGTCTTCTCTGTGGAGGTGAGGGTGAGTGTCAGCTCCGTAGAGGTGCAGTAGGGGTTAAACAAGGTGGTGCCTTTCACGGTTAGTGCTGTGTCTGCTCCAGAATTCTTTCCCGGAGTCCCAGCTAGTCCCAGTGACCCGGCCTGCCAGCTCCTCTCCTCTCCTCCCTTGAATTCTCTCCTCGTACTTCCCAGAGTGGGTCCGCTCTGTCCCCTTTTCACGGATAGCGTCCTCTCCCTTCCCCACGGCCTCTGGAGGCGCCTGCTGGCATTCAGCAGAGCCAGACACCCCTCATGGGGCCCCTACCCTTGGCCTTTCCCTGCCTCCTGAGGCCCAGCTGGATGGACTAACGGCATACCCCTCTGGTTCCCGGGTGCCTGCATTCCAGCCTGTGGGCCCAGTTCAGCTCTACACAGACCAGTGACTCCAGGGATGCTGCTACCACGGCCAAAACCCAGTTTCTCCAGAAAATGAAGATGACGGTATTCTTGCTGGGCTTGTGGGATCCCCCCCCCCCCAGGGTGGGGGCGGGGGGTGGTTCTGACTCAGCCTAGTGAGTTTAAGAGGCAACTCCAGGAAGGGCCAGAGCCACTCTGGGGTCCTGTCCTTGGCGGGAGAGGAAGGAGGGAACCTGGCTGCAGAGGAGTTTCCCTGATCCGTGTCCAGTCAGGCTGGCCTGGCTCTGGGCTCAGTGCTGCAGAGGTGGAGGCGGAGGTGGGGCTCCTCCGGAAGGCCTGCTCACTGCTGAGATGGCGAATGGAGGAAGAGCTCTCGGCAGGTGAGTGGGCCCTGGTGTGTGTCTCGGGGCAGGGAGGGCTTGGGACTGGCATGGACCTGGCCTGCCCTCCCTGACTCTTGCGTAGACCCTGCTGACTGGATGCAGGAGTACCACTGCCTGCTTACCCTGGAGGGGCTGCAGGCCATCACGGGGCGGTGTCTCCACAGAGTGCAGGAGCTGCGTGCAGGTGAGAACTGGCCCCCCACCCCCACCCCACTTTGTGCTGAGGTCTGGTCAGCGGTCAAGGTCCTCTAGACAAAGGGCAGCATTAGCAGCTGCCCAGGAGCAGGGTCACCCCACTGCCTCTCCAGGCCAGCCCTGTCACTGTAAATAGATTATTTATCTCATTCCCAAGGTAGTGTCACATGAGAGTCAGAGACGTACTGGCAGATGACTTGCCTGGTATTGCAAGAGACGGTTGTTGGTGGATAGTAGGGCTTCATCCAGGAGGCAAGTGCGAAGGAGGTCCCTGGCTGTCACCCCATGAGGCCACATCCCCCTGTCCTCACAGCGGTGGCGGGACAGCAGCTGAAGCCGTGGCCTGAGGGGAGATGCCCCAGAGCCTCCATGCCCTGTGAAGGAAGAACAGACTCTAGCTGGAGCCCCCAGCTTCTTCTCTACTCCAGCACCAAGGAGCTGCAGACTCTGGCAGCCCTCAGGCTGCGGGTGGCCATGCTAGAGCAGCAGATCCACCTGGAAAAGGTACAACCCAAGTAAGGGGGTGGGGACTAGGTGACTGGGTGCCAGAGGGATGGTGGGCTTTGGGCCCATCCAGCAGATGGAGCCTCTGGACTGTGCACAGCTGACAGCACTGGCCCAGGGGCAGAGCTTTTGAAGGAAGAAAGGGCTGGCACATGGTGCCTGAAGCCCTCCCTGGAATTGCCCCACCGTGGAGACCTTCTGCAAGCCCTCAGCTAGCTGCCGGGGACAGGGCCCCCACTGAGATCCTGGCCCTGCATTACCCCCTAGGTCCTGATGGCTGAACTCTTCCCACTGGTGAGCACGTGGGACCCGCAGGGGCCATCCTGGCTGGTGCTTTGCCGAGCTGTGCATAGCCTGCTCTGTGAGGGAGGGGAGCGCTTCCTCACCATCCTTCGAGATGAACCTGCCGACTGAGCCCTTCCCGTGGCCAGCAGCCCCGCACCTTGCCCCCTTCCCAGGCCGCCTGACCCCAGCAAGAGGGTGAGCTTGTTCTGACCCAGACGACTGGGAGAGCAGCACCCTATTAGGTGAACAGGGATTGAGAGGATTTTTGATGTGGTGGGCCTGGGGGCCCAGAAATGGCTATACCCCCTGGGAAGCCAGGGTTCCCCGACTGGGTTGGGGACAGCCCCCTGGTTCTTCCTGAGGAGCCCAGGGCCGCAAAGCTAGTGGTCAGGCCTCCACTTGGCTTGGCCTTCTGCAGGCTTGGAGACCAGAGGCCTGTCGGGCTTTTTTCTTAGCTACCTCTGTTTTTTCTTGCTTCAGACTTACAAGCCACTTGTGTGACATTAAAACTACTTTAGAAAGCACATATGTATAAGATGGAACTTGGTGTATTTGGTTTTTTCTTTGTGTTTTTGCTTACCAAGAACATAGCAAGCATATTTATCATATTTATTGAGAACACACAGACATTCTGTACTGAAGGGAAGGGAAGGACACTGAAGGTGAGCAGCACTGGGGACTCCCCTCAAGCTTGGGCCCTAGCACACCTGAAACCCCTCCCCCCAATCGCCTGGACAGAGCTCACTGGAAGACACAAAAGCCACCAGCCCATATCAGAGTGGGCAGGCACTGTGTAGCCACAGCAGTCCTTCTAGCACCCATGCACACTACTTCTCCTGGGCTGTTGCTGTGGCCAGTGTGGGCCCCCCAACACTGACTTACCACCAGGGAACTTGCCCCTCACCTACGCCACTGTCACCTCCTCCAAGGCTCCAGCTTCCCCTGCTAAAGGAAGGCAAGAAAAATGTAGAGCTCAAGGTCATGGCCTCTGGATTTATACCAGTCACAGGTTTGGGTTTCCACTGTGACTTGATTTCTGCTGTGGGACTTTCAGCAAGATTCTTAAGGGTCCTGAGCCTCAATTCTCAGTGTCGTCCCCACTGTCATACTGGGGGTAATTGTTGGGAGAGGTTATTGAAGAGACACAACCACCCGCTGCCCCGGGAGCTGGATCTGGGCCACGGGAGGCTCCTCACGCCCTCCCCTGTCCTTGGAATATGGGTTCCACTGGCCTTTTCACTCCCAGAGGTTGCTCCCGGGACACAGCCCTGAGGTAGTGACGTGGCACTGAGAACACCCGCATGGGGACGGAGCCCAGGGAAGGCCTCTCCCGACACCACCTTTTAGGCTCTGGCAGGCAGGTGCAGGGATGTAAGTTCCTTTTGCTTAGGAACCTTGCCGCCTACCCACCTGGAGGGGCCCACCTCTTGCTTCAGTCTCCGCCTGCCCTCTGCATGTGCGGCCAGTTTCAGATGACACCTGCAAGGCTCCCGAGGGGCCTGCGTGCCAACAGTAATAGCTATTACCCCTATGGCTGGGGCGAGGACAAATTACACAGTGGTAGGCCCTGGGGAGAGCTGGGAGGCTGTAGTGTTCGTTAAGTAAACCTTGTTTGGGCACCTGTGCCAATCAAGCACAATCCTCAGAGCAGGGTCATTGGCCCTTTGTGTAGCTAGCGATGAGCCACAGGGAATTAGCACCAGCCTCTGCCCCAAGGGGACCCAGGCCCTGGACCAGGTAGCTTCTGGAGGAGGCCAGGTTTTCTGAGAGCCAGGTGAGGTGTCACAGGAATGGGGAATGAGCTGAGTGATGTTGAAGCAGCCTTGGGGTGGCCCCAGGGCCCCCAGCAGGAAATCCTACTTGTAAAAGCCCCCACAGGCCAGAAACCTTGAACATGGAATCTCCGATATTGCAGGCTGCTGGGAACCAGATGACAGACCAAAGTAGGAAACCTAAAAACAGTCCTCATTGCACTGAGGGGCCTGTAGGGAGTGAAAGAGCCCCCATCCACTGCCCAGAGCAGGAACAGGGAAGGGGAAGCCAAGAGATGGGAAGCCTGGGAGACGCCTACCCCCTCCTGGCCACTCCCTTGCTGCTTCCAGAGCTCATTCCCAGTTGCTCTGATCTTGAGGAGCCCTTCATTTCCAGGGTGAGTCCCACCACCACCCTGTCACTGGCCAAAATCAGTTTCCATAGCTAGTGGTCTCCACCATAATTATTTAAAATGCCAGCCCACTTGGTTTATGGTGTACCTTCCCTACTGGACCTCTGCCCGGTGAGGGCAGGGGTGCTGTCCACCTTGGTTCCTAGCAAAGCCCAGATGGGCGCCTGAAGGTTGTGGACTCAATGACCCACCTATCAGGACCAGTCCGGCTGGTGTCTTGTGGAGGGCTGCCCGCACCTGGGCAGGAAGGTGCCGCCCCGAGCCTGAGGGAGAAGGAGGGCAGAAGTCTGGGTGAGCGTCCCCCTCTAGATTCGTGCCCGCCCACCCTGATTCAGCGCCAAGTCGGGAGGCGGCGGCGAACTCCTCTCCCCAGCGTCCTGGTGGCGTCACCGCATCCCGGGCCAATCCGCTCTGACGTGGCGGTCGAGGAGGACGAGAGTGGGGGCTGCGCGGGCGCCCACACCCACCCAGAGCGCGGCCCCCCGTCGGCGGCATGAGCGCGCCCGAGCCCCCGCCCGCGGCGCCTGCCGAACCCCCTGAACCCCCCGCGCCCCCAGCACCCCCCGAGCCCCCCGGGGCCCTGCGCGCGCTGCTTTTGGCCACCGGCGGCGTGGGGGGCTCCTGGCCGCGCTGCGTCCTGCCGTTCGGCGCCGTGACCCTGCTGGCCGGCGCCGCCGCCACGGCCATCACCTTCTCGCTGCGCGGACCCCACCTGGACCTGGAGCAGGGCGTGGCGCTGACCACGCTCGGCGCGGGCCTCGGGCTCCTGGCCGCCGCCTTCCTGTGCTGGCGCGGTCGGCGGCAGCGGCGGGCTGGGCGCGCGGGGCCGCGGGAGCCGGGGACGTCCTGAGCCCGCGCGCGCGCGGCCCCCTCCCCAGCGAAATCACCGGGAGCCGGACGCCTCCTCCCTCCGGACCTCGCCCCGCCGGGGCGCTCACAGCACAGCGCGCGGGACGCGGAAGCCCCCTCCCCAGACCCCAGACCGTTCCTTCCTAAACCCTTAGGAGGCCAAGGGGTGGGGGCTACGAGCCATTTCCCTCTGCTCTTCGGACTCTCCTCTCCCCACTCCTCCCAATGTTGCTTTTCAGCGTTCTGCTTGGCGCGCAGAGCCGGTCGCGACCACAGAGAGGGCCTGCGTGGCACGGGGGCCCTGCCGGGGGCGCAGGGTGCAGGATGGCCGCGGACTCGGCAGGGGCCACCCTCCTCAGGGTGAAGCCTGCCGTGCTCCCCTCCCTCAGCCGTCTGTCTTCCCTGCTGGGTTGGAAGCCCCTCTCCACATAATAGACGCTCAATAAATGTTTGTGTGAAATGCGTACAAGTGGTGGCTTGCAAACGTCTGGAGGGAACAGGGCTGGGCCAGGAGTGTTGGATCAGTCTGCCTTTTAAGGGAAAGACCCCAGCCGCCTGAGGCCTGGGAATGTCTGGCCCCCTGGGTCCCCTCCTCCCCAGATAGGTTCCCCCAAAGCCAGCAGCTGTCACTCTGACTGGGGGTGGGAGTGGGAGGACTGCAGTGGGCTGATGAGGTGCATGTGGGGGCAGGGAGGCGGAGTCTCTTCTAAGGTGCCAGGATGGGGCAGGACCAGTGGAGAGGTGTGAGAGGCCCCAGAGGCTGGGGACAGGTGCAATGAGCCTGGACTGGGGGCTGGGGAGAAGGCCCTCCCTCACTCTCAGCAGGCCATCTGCCAGGGCCATCCTAGGGGCCAGAAGAGAATGTGTGCAGGGGGCCATTCTGGGGGAAGAGGCCAGGCTGCCTGCAGCCTCTTCCCTGGGGAACTGGTAGTACCACCGCCCTCTGGGCCCAGAGCTCCCTGCTTGCTAAAAGGGATGAACACTCGTGCATGCAGCAGGCTGAGCCCTGAGGGCCTCCTTCCACCCACATCACAAACCACCAGATGTTCTGCAGACCTTAGCCCCAACTCCCAAGGAGGCTGGGCTGCAGACAAAGCCTGCAAGTCTGACACAGGGTTGGAAGGGAGGCTGCTCCCTGATTTCCAGTTTCCTTTCTTCCCTCCCGAGTCTTGAAGTCCAGACAACCAGGGGCTCCCTGGAGGCTTGTCTCAGGTTCTGTGGAACCCTTGTGTTGGGCCTGGGCATCTCACCCCACCGTGGCCTCTTAGCTTCTAACGGTCCCAGAAGGATCTGTTGCAGCCGGTACTCTCTTGCCAGAGCTCCGCTCATCCCAGGCTGAGGCTGATGATCAGAAGGACCTTGAAGAGGGTGGTTGGGAAGATGCTGTTTTTGAACTTGACTCATGCTGGAGCATACTGGGCTCCCTGTCAGCTCCCTCATTCATGCACGGCTATCTGTTGTAAGGGGCACGTTCTTTTCATCTCAAAGTTGAGATTAGGTGCCATGGCACCTGCTCTGTGGGGCAGAGGAGAGCCACAGACTCCCTGCTGCTGCCAAAGTCGAAGGGAGAGAGGTCAGCAGCCCCTCTGACTCAATTCTTCCCAAGTCTCCCATGATCTCATCAGCCCCTGCACCCCACCCCCCACCCTTACATTTGTGAGGGCCTGACCAGAAGGTGCTAGTCCCCTCAGATGCCCCATCACCCTGTCTTCCTGGCTGCTCCAACCTCTTCTCCTTTGGTTTCCCCTGGGAGGCTCCAGTGTCCTCCTGTCTCTCCTCTCCTAAACAGCAAGAAGATTCTGCTTCTCTCTACTTTCTTCTTGTGGGTCCTTGCAGTATCTCTTGCCCGGGTGCAAGAGGCAGCTCTACCTACCCAGACACACCCACGTGGCATCCTCCATCAGCTGCCGGGCCTGGCCTAGTCAGCCTCCCATCTGAAACTTCAGACCTCACAACTTCTCCCAGGTCAGACATGTTCCCGTGTTCCCTGCCCCCTCTGCACGAAGCTGACCCTTCCTGGGATGCTGCCCCTGCCCCTCCATCAAGGGCTTAATGGTTGTGGGGAAGTGGTGTCTATCCGGAGCAGTTCTGGTCTCTCTTGGCTGGGTCACTCTCAGCTGCAGCTGCCTCATCCCCAGCTGGTGCCCAGACTGCCCAGGTGAGTTCCTGCCTCAGTTTCTCTACCCAAACCTGCTGGTATGTGGGCCAGGCTCAGGGGGTCTGACACTGAGCTGTCTGTGACCAGGCCCTCCCCATGGACCAAACTCCACTCCCTACCCTCCACAGGGGTCCTCGACTGCTGACCAAGACCCTGAACTCCACGGGCCTCTGTTAATTAGTAGGCTCCCCCCACCCCAGCTTCTTCTTTCTCCCTGCCAGCTCTGGGGACTGGCCCCATCTTGGTGATGCAACTAGATAGAGACCCAGAGATGCTTTGGGACAAGGGTTTGGCCTGATCTGGGTCGGATATGCCAATTTCATTACTTAGGCGAGTTCCAGGCAGACCCAGAGGACACATCCTT